CGTCGTGTTCAATTTCTAACCGTGATTTCCCAAACCCTCGAAAATCGGTCCTCGAGCACCCTCGCCGAAGACGGATGACTTCTCCGCGAGTTGTGCAAAGAGGGCCCGCCCCCTCCCCCTTCCCCATCTCCCACTTGCTCGGTTCTACCGTCGTGAAAAGTGCGCCAACGGAACGCGAACAAAGATTCGAAAGAGGCGGCGGCGGCGTTCACCGGCTCGGCGCACTAATTTGTTCAGCTGGATCGCTTCGTCAACCGCGCGCGAAATATTTTCTTTTTTTTTTTTCACGGGAGAATGCCTTCCATTGTGGATCGCTTCTGCGACGATAAATGGGGAACGTCTTTGTCCGCCGCGAAAATAAATCTGTGGAATATCTCACTTTCGGGTGTTTCCTGTGCGCGGATTATGCGAACTTTTGGTTTGATTATTTTTTATTGTGGAGAATGGGAATTGTGACCGTTACAATCACGAGAACTGTTCTGTTCTTATTTTACTTTGTTCGAGGGTTTTGGTTTTGACTTTGTTCATTTTAATATTTCGTAGCTTTAACGTTGCAATCGTGAAACTGATCGTTTTTGAGACTTCCTTTGAATGACTTCCGGTACCCTGATCACAATTGACATGTGAACTGTCAGATATTTCTAAGAAACCAAGTCTCCTGTCATCGGGAGCAACGCTTGGGCTTAGCTCAAGCACGAAGGATACTCCTGAAAGTACACTATAACTTTTACGAACAATTTCCGCCGATTGCAACAACGATGTGGAAAAAGCACTTTTCTCGTAAAGAAAAGAAAATTAAAACCGAAATATTTTTCACTTTAGATTATCTTATCTCGTTCGATATTTCATAGCGCGTAGTTCTCCGTTGATTCAGTTTATCCTTAAAATTTCGAATTTCCGATGATTTCTTCCGGAACATCCACGTTGCGGAAAAATACATACATGTTTGGCGATCGATTAAAAAGTAAAACAAGAGTTGCCTGAACTTCACTATATACGGGATCCAGGGCGCTGGGCCGATTCCTTACCGGTCACGAAAACTGCGAGCACGATGAAAAGCAACGCGGACAGTGTTGGACGCGCTTCTCGATATCTTGCGACACTTCTCATGATGCCTCCTCTTTTGTTATTTTCCTCGCGATTACACACTCATACGCGTTCCACCGGTCACGGATCACAGATCCGTGTTCATTTCACGACATCCGGTTCCCTCGGTTGTCACACCTATTTGTCGATCCATTCACCAAAAGAATAAAAAAAAAAAAAACAGAAGAAAAATGCAACAGCACACTTTCACTAAATCGCAGCAAATCCGAACACCGTGCCCCACGAAAAATCCGTCGGGTCTTGGAAACTGTTTTTTCTTTTTTTTTTTTTCGATCACCTGGTTGACGCGGTTGCACCGGAAGAATTAACGGTAGCGCAGGAAGAGAAAAAAAAGAAAACGAAGAGACGCGTGCGTTACTTGGTACGGCGTACACTCGATCCTACGATCTTTCGTCGCCGATGGCGCGCGCTGCGCGTCTCAGGACGACGTGACGACAAAGAGCTCTTCCGGTCGACGTACAAGCGGCTACTGAGGCTCCCGCCGCAAGCACGGAGAGCTTCCAGTGTCCCGCCGCCATCCCCCCCTGTCGCCTCGTTCTCCTCATCCAGCCCCTTCACCCGCGCCCTCCAACCCCTTCGTTTCGCCCCCCACGGCCATTTTAGCGTCGTCGTCGCGATCAGCCGCCCCAGTGCGGGCACTGCGCGCGCGAGAGAGCTTTTGCGTCCTAAAGCTGGGATAGCTCCGGGGGGAAGGGGTGATTGATTGGCGCTGAAACTTCGCGACTGATTGAATCTTTTTTACGTTTCAATATCGGTATCCTCGAGTGGGATGTATGCCACGCTGAAACAGAGTGGCCGGGATTCCACGTGTGTACGGGGATATTAAGTTCCTTCTGGAGACGGGAACGGGCCCCTTCTAGGACGCGATTTCCCCCCTTCGGTGATCCTTCCCGCCCCAATCCCCGCGACGAAAGTTACAGCAAGGATTACACGAGATCGTTTCGATGCGTTCTTCTCTGGGTATTCGTCGAGTAGCCTGTTGACAGCCATAATCAGATAATACGTGTTTAGTGTGGGTAAGAGTAATCGACTCTTTTTTGTCAGATTCGATATATGTTCCCAAGGAAATCGAAAGCCTGTGATGTTTCAGTAATTTTAGTCCCAGTTCTTCACAATTCCTTTCGCTGCTTTTAAATGGAAAAGAGGGATGAAGATGGTCTGATGCTACTGACTGATAATTGACTGTTGCCCATATACACTCTTGCTCATAAGTATTGGGACATTTATGGAGTGTGCAGTAAATGTTAGAAGGCATTATGAAGTTGATAAAAGTCTAAAATAAATACTAGTTCAGGGATATATTAAAGCTCAATGGACAACGCTGATACTACTATGAATTAATAAAAGTGGCCTAAAATATGTAATTATTGTACTAAACTAGATACTACATCACTTTTTCTTCACACAGGCCAGGTGTTCTAATATTTATGTACTTGTACCATGTATTGGTCAAGATCTGACGAAAGTTGTGCTTTCAAAGTTAGATATCTACAGGCACATCTTGGTCAAAATGTTTGCATAATGACGATTAACGGGTATACTTGAGCGTCTGGGGACTACTTTACGCAAAGCGTAGGTTGCTCTTCAGAAGATATATAGGATCGAGAGCATACCGTCGGCTTTAACAGAATACGAATCTGAAAATGTATGGAATGTGTATCAAAATTACAGAATAATTAGAAAAAGTAGAATTCTACGTGTAAAGATAAATTAGAATTCGGATCACATATCGTCTGTCTGTCCATTATTGGTTATTTCTACTTGCTTAGACAATACTAAACCTTATCAGTGGTGTGGTTTTGTTTCTATTTGCTATAATTTAATGTAAACTAACATGTCGAAGATAATAAGGTGAATGAACAATACTGTATTATAATCGGTGATTATTATAAGTAGAAACAGACAGTAACAGGCAGACTCTCAAGTAGTCGTATACGAAAGCACGTGTGAGTAGTACCATCTCTTTTAGGGTTCTACCACGAACTTTCATCCAATCCGAATACATGAATTTTTCACAATCTTCATGATTATCAGTACCATTTACTGTATTAGATATTATAGGATAGGTCTAATTGCTTATGTATTAGCCGTTATTGGTGATTGAAATTGCTGGAAGCACTTCACCCTTTAAGGTTGGACAAGCAATATTACGTTTCGTAGGGTATATTGAAGCTAATAGTATAAAGCAATTGCAATATATGACCAAAATATATACTCACTAAGAAAAAAAAAATTCTGCATTAATCATACGAGAGCACGTAATAACCGTTTGAAACTTTGACTGCCATGTCACCCACATATGGGTGACAAGTGCATTGCAAAGAGGCTGGATTATTTAAACACCGTTAAAACAATTAAAAGGTTATGTTGATAATAAGATCATATTAAATTTTTAAATATTATAGGAAATAGCCATTTAGTAGACGATATTATAGTGTTTGATTAATTCATTACTTTCTTGCTTCTATAATATTAAACTTCGTAAACTTTGAACTCAGTTTTCTCAGTTTAGAAACTAGTGGAGGTAGAACAATTAAGAATTCGAGCGACGAATTGCTAATGAAAAATGTATTAAGATAGTTTTAAACCGGTAAGAACATTGAAACAGTGAACAAGGTTAAGTAAAATGATCAAGATAACTTAAATAAGTTACTGCATTGGAAATAAGAACCTACCATGCTTAATAACATGAAATGCAAAAGCTTAGATTAATTATTACTTCTTGGTTGTCGTATGCTTTGGTGTAAGTCATAGTTTTAGAAAGTTCATAATAAAGTGCTATTTATAGCTTTTTATATTGTAAGTAGTGTGACTGGATTCTGCTCCAACCAGTGCGAGGCGACATTTCGCTGTAGGTCAATGTTGACAACACAGGCTCCGCAACTCATGGAATCTCTCCCGCTTCAACTCCGTTTATTCATCCACTTTGTCCACGTGAGTTCCTCTACTCTGTCATTAGATGCTACGTTATCTGCACGCGCTTCATACAGCCACAATATGCCATATAACTAGAGACAAGACCTCGTAAGAAGCTCTATACGTGGACGGGACGGCTATAAGCCATTGTATGTCTGACGTCATCTCGGCTATAATATCATGAATCATAATGCCCGTTGGTATTATTACCTTACATATTACATTTAGATAAAATCATGGAATTTTATACGAAATGCACAACAAATTCGAAAGTACAGGATCGCGACAGGATAATTGTCAAGATGATTTAAGGTCAGACGGGATACCTTAAACGCCTTCTTCAATTTGTCATTCAGGTTCTGTTCGAATTGCTCGCGAGCAAGCAATTTCAAATAATCGCCAGTAAACTAGTCCGTGGGGGCCTGTGCAAAAAATTTGCAGTTATCAACGACAGTTATGTTAATTACGAACGAACGAGCGAGAAGGGATGTTCCGAAGTGACCTCGATTTGTAATGTCTCAAGGTGGCACGAGTATAATAAATAATACCCTTTTATTTATCGCGTTTGATAGATCGCTGATAATTATGTACAACGTGGTATGCAATTAAGATGCGCGTTAATCCTGGATAAATATCATGGGTGCGGAGAGGATCGGTATACAGAACACATTATGGTAGCGTAATGACTCTGAAAGTTGCAGTTCAGGGTATAATTTTCCTGTTCTGCTTGATGTTGTATTAATACGCTTAATCTTTAGCAATCAAACGTTTCATGACATTTAATTTTCACGTGAATTATCATACTCTTGTGAAAACTTTGATTATTTTTCACACACATAAAGATAACATTAAGCGACTGGTATTTCATATAATGACGAAATGGTACAGGTTACGAATTCGCAACATTGATAGAACGATTAAATTAAACTGAACATTTTTAGTCTAAATATATATTTCTTAAAGTTCTGCACATATTCTTTGCCATCAAATACAAAATATTTAAAATCTTTTATCTATCATTGAAATATCCATTATTAAAAAATCTTGCTATGTAGATTCAATATGTTGATATATTTCGACATTAATAGGAAATGTTGCATAGGTTTTAATAACCGGGTAGATCGAGGTCTCAAGATCCAAATTGGTCGCTAGCAGGCCACGCAATTGGTCCTACACGTCCTATCCATTTGCTCAGGCGAGGTGGAGTACAATAATCACACGCGACATCTAATATCTAGGGGGATTTCAGCCAGGAATTATAGCGAGAAAATTTGCACGACAATATAATTGGTCTCTACTGTTAATTTTGCAGAGAGGGCTAATTTTCTTCAATTAGTGAAACATATTTCTTTCGGTAATATAACCAATTTGAAATAAATATGTCATTGAGTACGGAAAGAACCGCAAGATACACATGACAATCATAATTATACTGAATATATTGTTACGTGTTACCCGATATGTTGCACGTATTGTGTATTGTCAAAGCGAATCGCTTGAACATGGACAATGTAGAGTCGTGGTACGACGTCGGAGGGAGAAGGATGTGCAAAGATAAGTACTCTTCTTGAAATAAACAATTCTCCCTTTTATAAACTTTGTCCTTTCATTATTGGAGATTACACCGCGTCCACGCAACAATCCGCTTCTAGAAGTATTCTTCAATCCTTTGGATGTTAATTAAAGGTTTTATAAATATTCAGTATGTCGTGTAATCGTGAAGAGAATTTTTAGTTCATAAACTAAAGCATTAAGTATCTTAGAAATGGCTCATTATATGTTATTATAGTGTATGTTTATTTAAATTTTTTATTCTTTCTTAAGCGTAGTGAGTCAATATGTACCCATATTTATTATCACAAAATTTCGTTTCGTTCAATCAGATTGATTAACCAATTAAATTTTTACCGACAATTTAATAAAAACATATTTATTTCTAAATTACATTTCTAAATATAGGTCATAGAGATTTCAATGTACGTTTATTTTTCCGTGAGAATCGATCAAAACAGACCTGTGTAGCTCGCGTTTTTCTTTTCTCTGCTTCAATTCAACTCGGTTGATATAAATGGCGTCGAATGATATCG